TTTTTGCCATAGGGCGCGTGCACTCGCCAGACAGACAGAGAGAGACAGAGAGACAGAAAGCGAGAAATCACCCCCCAGGGGGGATGGTCACGCCGCAATCCCTTCTCCTCCATTCTCCTCTCGGGATCTTGGGCACGCACGCACATGCGCCCGGCGTGAGTTTTAAGCCACCGGGTCCGGGACGTGAACCACGGTCGACTACGTGGGAGTCCAGCGACATAGCCATTACGCTAACTGCTGGTTCCCAATACTGAAATTTCTTTAAGCATTAGCAGAGAAAATAAACAATGAAAATTTTAAGTTCTTAAAACACAGCAACTACTTTCAACAACTAACATTTAATATCTACAGAGTCAAACTAGTCAAATAACGCATTTTTTTTAAAAAAAAAAGGAATGAAATTTATCTTCTAAGTACCTGTTAATACTAGAACAAAATAGGTTTTCCTGCAGTTTTTTCTTGGACGTAAGAAGTAAAACGTTTCAGAAATTTAGGATACTCTCGCTTGGCCACTGCCCTTAACACTGAAGCTGGTGCCCATCCTCCAGGGTTCACTGTAAGATAAAGGAAAATTCCAACCTATTAAGATATGATTCTCCAAATAAATGTGAAGCACTTAGTTTGTTCTTTTACTTTTACAAAATTCCTCATTTTGGAATAGTAAGCATTCCTTATGGTCTCAATCATTAATTCCTTGATACTATCAGACCTGATCAGACAGCAAACAGAAAGCATTCATTACCTTTCTAAAATGTTCTTGGTTCCCTAAATTACAAGGAAATATATGACTGGCATCACATTAGGTTATTTAGAGCAGACTTATTCATTAACCTCTAGTATAATTAAATAGTAACTTACTAAGGTACTTTAACTATTCTAGCAGTTATGGCCCTGTATAAAAAAGAAGAGTTAAGTATCTGATTAGAGAAGTTGCAATGATTACTGCAGGTGCAAAATGGGTACAAGAAGAAATCGAAGCAAGTGACAAGAAGGGCTGTTGAGCACACAACGTGAAGTCAATGTGTAATTAGCAACTGTGGAAGCAATGTTTGAAAACTAAAAACCTGGCATTAAAAAAAAAAATTCCTTTTCCATTGTTGCTTATATTCCTAATTATAAATGCATTCAATTAGGCAAATATCTAATGTAACAGTTCTTGACACCAATGGTATAAGATAGTGATCTAGAGATGAAATTTTAAAATTTACCTATCCTACCCCAGCTTTAGAAATTCTCATATAGTGGTTCTAGGATCAAATTCAGATATGTGTATTTACAGTTTCCCAGATAATTCTGATATGCCTCTCTACAAATTAAAAATTACAATCTAAAGGTTAAGAACTGAAAATTAGCCACTTGTCCAAACTCTCAGTTATCATGTAGATCGTGATCAAGAACATCCACATTATCAAGGAGCAAATACAAACAACGAAAAATACATACCATTAGCTACATATGTTATCTTGCATAGAATGTTGTCCCTACTAATTTCATGGTTTCCCTCTGGTGGGCTTACCAAGGTTTGACAAATCATAGCAATATTTATTTTGGCACGGACACATCGATTGTTTAGCTGCCAAAACAGAAAGCAAAAATAAAGCACCAGTATAATACATATTTGCTATTTTGTAATCTCTATTGGCCTAATACTACTTTAAGTTAACCCAAATCAACACTCTTATCAAAATCTTCAACAAAATCTTATAAATACCAGTAAGTAACCCACGCCAATCTGAAATAACACCAGGTTTCTCCCTCCTCTAAAGTAGTAAATGGAGCTAAGTTGAGGTAGAAACCACAGAGATTTCTGCCTGAAGTTGATTATGGCTTTAGAGAAAACTGTGGGATAGCCAGCAGGTGGCATGGTGGTTAAGGCACTGACTCCCACATGGCTGACCACGGTTTGAGTCTCAGACCTGGTAGCTTGCTTTCTCACTCTGCCCCTCTCTCTCTCCAAGTTAAAATGAATGAATGAATGAATAAATTAAATAATACTTAAAAAAAAAGAGACTGTGGGAAATAACCTACATTTACTCCCATTCAGCTATTTGGCCAGACTTAGCTTTGGTGGGACATTCACGGCCATGACTATTATCCTCTGACAACACAATGATCTGTAGTGTTCCAAGCAGACAACCCAAGAAAAAACAATCTTAGAAGTATTATCAAATCAGGTATATTTTGTATGTGTGTCGGCACGAGTGTGTGTTTGTAGCAAGTGCTCTTGCCTTTGCTCTGCACTTTACATTTAGCTTTTTATTATATAAAATTAGACACATGTACACAATGTACTTACAGGAGCACTGTCATGATCCACAGAAAAATTACACACTATCCAAGTTTCAGGGTCATTTTCGGTCTTGGCTGGTATCTTTCGAATGGCAGAAAGATATAATACATCTCGCTGAGAAGCAGGCCACACTCTCTGTAGAAGAAAAATTGTTTGAAAATATGAACTACTTTTTACTCAGACATATCAAGTGACTAACAGAGAAAAATATGAGACCAATTAATTCTTAGTTGAAGGCGAAACTTGTTGAATTTTAAATAGAAAGCATCTAAGAATAACTACCAAAGGATTAATGTCACCTGCTGTCCCTAATCCTATTTTTTCACTAACTTTAAAAAAAATTATGTATTTATTCATACATTTATTTTAATTTGATGAGAGAGAGAGAGAGCGCGAGAGAGCAAGCAAGCCACCAGGTCTGGGACTCAAGCCACAGTTGGCCATGTGGGAGTGTCCAGTGCCTTAACCACTATGTCACCTGCTGGTCCCCTTCACTAACTTTTTAGAAGTCCTTGTGGAGGCAGAAGAAGCTGGGCCTTCAGAAGAAGGTTCCACATAGCTCCAGTGAACTAGATTTTTCAGGGAATGAAGATTTTCTACTGATAATTCAGCCTCCAGCAAATGAGCTAGTGGCTGAACTTCAAGAATTTGAAAGAAACACACCATCCATCAGATGACAAGAAATCACCGCCGGATCACGAGAAATATGGAAAAACGAGAAAACACCTCTCCTCCAAGGGAAAAGAGTAACTCTTCTTCATCCACAAGCAGTTTGGTGAAAATCACGGAAATGTCTGATAAGGAATTTAGAGCATTCATAATGTCAAAGCTAACAGAGATGAAAGAGAAGAGAGATAATGAACTGCTAAAGAGAAAGGAGAAAGGGAACCAGCAGTTAGCATAATGGCTATGTTGCTGGACTCCCACGTAGTCAGCCGCGGTTCGCATTTCAGACCTGGCGGCTTAAAACTCACGCTGGGCGCGTGTGCGAGCGTGCCCAAGATCCCGAGAGGAGAATAGAGGAGAAGGGATTGCGGTGTGACCATCCCCCCTGGGTTTCTGTCTCTCTGTATCTCTCTGTCTGGCGAGCGCACGCGCCATATAGCAAAAAAAAAAAAAAAAAAACGGGGAAAGACA